TAATTTAAAAATAGCATATTATTAACGTTGAAACCACATAATCAAATATAGAAATAAAAAAAAATTCAAAATCTTAACGAAAATCTAAATTGATTCCCTAATATATTAGATCTGAATCTTAATATTAATATTTGTAACATTTTAGTCGGCTATAGTTATGTAAAATAATATTTTAGATTGATATAGGATGATATTATTATTATTTTGAGGGTAATTACAATAAAAATCAAAACAATTACCTAGAGTAGTTTTTTTAATTAATCACATAATCCTCAATCCAATTTAAAATCAATCACTAAAAAGGCACCCTAAAAAAGAAAAATTGAGGAAGAGTATCGAATCTAACCTTGCCTCATTTCATCTAATTAAAAATATTGCCATTTAAATAGAAAATTTTATTTACATTATTACATATCTTTTAAAATTTAAAATTAGAAATTAGAAACTATGTATCTTTTAGCTACTCTAATTAATTATATATATATATTATATATATTATAATTAAAAAATATATCTTGAACTAGTCTAAAAATTAATAAACAAATTGTCTTCTGAAGTAGAAAAATTGCAAAGAAGACACTCAGAATATTGAAAAAATTACTTTGGCTTGAATTTCACTTTTTGCCTCGTTTCATAAACAACAAAAAATACTGTTATTCAACAATGTGATGTTTCAATTAATACTCAAGAAGGGTTGGGTGTCTGTTACCTAGCTTGCCTTCAAATTAGTCATTAGATATGACTGGGATTAGCTTCATTTTGTTATACAAATGATAACACTAATCCAATGGCTTGGCCTTCTACCTCTCAAGTGATGACTTTCATGCAATAAAACTATCAACATTCTTACCCTTCTTATTATAGCAAATGGTCTAAGTTTCTTCCAAAATGATTATGTACTGTTTCATATGCTTTTCGCTTTCTCCTTGCTCCTTATGACACTTAGCTAATTACATGAGCATCCTTACTTAATGGAGCCTTCTTTGTCCTTCAAGTAGAGTTAATTTTGGGTGATTCTCAATCCAAAAGTTAATTGTCATCTAACCCAACATGTTTTAGTAATAGAAAATTAGCAGCTATCTATTAGCTTGTTGGGATTGAGACGCAAACCTATATTGCAATGGAATATTATTGCCATCGTGTGAACTACAATATCTCAATAGCTTAGACATTATTCCAAAAAAAAAAAATAGAAAACCAGGAAAATACAAAATTTGAGCAACTAAGATTTGATGCCAACCATAATGAAATTTAAAGACAAGGTTAGATTATTCACCTGTTTAGCAAATTCATCTTTAGGCTCCTTTTATGTATGCCATTGGAGACAGTTACTAAAGAAAAGTTACAATAGGATTGAGATTGAAATTTATAGGCAAGGGAAAATGTTGCGTTATCAATAATTGTAATGGCATCAACTTTACAAATACCAAATAGTGTGGATGTTGGAGTTAGATGCTTATGGATATGTGCGATATGTCGAACAATTTACTTGAAAAATTGGAGAAGCTAAGAAAAATTTACAACAATGAGGAATAACTAATGAACAAATAGATAGTTTCATAACTCACAAAAATTTGATTATCCTATAAAAAAGAGCATGAATTATACATGAATTAGTGAAGCTGGAAGTATGGAATGAAATTGTAGCCAAACACACTTATTTATAATTGATATAATATTTTTGTTAGAGAAAATTTGAATTTAAATTGCTAATCTAATATAATAATTGGTTATCATAAATAATTATTGTGAGTAAGTAATTTTAAATTCAAATTCAAAACAAAATCAAGCTTTGAAATTATAGTTACTATTTCTTCATAAATTTGAATCATATTTAGCATAAGTAATTATTTTGAGTAATTTTAAATTTTAGTATTTAATCATATTTTATTCCATAACTAAAACCTATATATTCAAATTTCAAATATATATATATATATACACTTTATTATATGATTGAAATTTTGGAAAATCACCCAAGGTATATCAATAATTTTTTATTCAAATTTATTATATGATTGATCATATAAACCTTAATTTTTAGCAAATATTTAAGGTGCTTCGAAATTTTTGAAAATCACAAGGACAAATAGAAATTGTAAATACATATTTTTTTTCTAAATTTTAAAATATAAGTAGTAATTTGAATTCAAATATGACCATATTTAGATTTGAAATAGATAAAATTTATTTTTAATACATCTAAAAAATAATAATTCATTCCGGACCTAACTTTAAACCTAAATAATATATTTTATATACATTAAAAAAATAATAAATCATCTCAAGCCTAACCTTAAATCTAACTCTGGAGCACAAAATTATGGAAAAGGCATTTCAAAGCACAGAATTACAGCAAACCTAAAAAAGAACACGTGATATTCTCTCCCAACCTTTAACTCTACTTTTATATGTATAATGAAATGATTTATTTTTTAATACATCTAAAAAATAATAATTCAGGTTGCACCTAACTCTAAACCTGAATAATATATTTTATATATATTAAGAAAACAATAACTCATAGGGAGCCTAGCCCCAAACCTAACTCTGAAGCATATAATTATAGGAAAAGCATCCCGAAATATAGATTACAGCAAATTTAAAAATGGACACATGGCATCTTTTGGAGCCTTTAACCCTACTTTTATATATATAATGATATTGACTGAACAAATTTTGGCATTGAGAGGTAGTGAGCATGAAAAGAAATTAAATTTCTAGAAACTTTATAAAAAGAGATTTTATGAAAAAATTACTGATTTTTTTAAATAAGTAATTTTTTCATTATAAAAACTGAAACAAACAACCTTTAATCAGATTCATAATCATAACCTCTAACGAGTTAGTACTTCTCAAACTCACTAACTTTCATATGCCCACTACCTCAAGCTATTAGGAAATCAATTATGGTTTATTTGTTTAATATTAAAAATCAGTAATTTTTAAATAGTTTAAAAATTTTAAAAGAAGAATTACTTTAAGTTTTCACTTAAAATAATTAATTACTCCCAAGCCCATTTTATAATGACCCAGGAGTAATTAATTGTTTTAAACAAGTAATTCTCCCTTTTTAAAAGGAGATGTACTCAATACAATTTTATAAAAAATAGACATTTATGTATCATTTTTCACAATTTCACAATTAGTAGCGAGATTAAGTATTGGATATTTTTTTCCTTTTCTCCATTGCTTGTTGCGATGTACTCAACAAAAAATTCCTTCATTTTTTTTAGTATAAAATTAGAATTTTCTACATTATTAGTTTCAGACTAGAAGCTAAAGATAAAATAAAATGTGAATTTAATATGACAATTTTTTTTTTTCAAAAGTTCAGGCAGTGGATTATTATATCATATTTCTACAATTTAATTAGATGCAAAAATCTAGGAATACACTCTTTGTGATGGTAGAAGATTTTTTTTGTTGGAACCCCTCTTTTTATTAAAAAAGTTAATGTTTGGTTATAATAAAAAATAAATATTAGTTATTTATTTTAAAAATTATAATATAATTTTTAATTTTTTTTAAAAATAATTTATTATTTAATTATTTTAAAATTTGATGATATATTCGAATATTTGGTCTTTTTAAAAAGCTACTTAAAATAAATTTTTAAAATAATTAAAAAATATATTTTATTCTAATTATTTTTAAAATTTTAAACACAGTGAAAATTTATAAAATAGGTTTTTAAAAAATAAATGATTTTTTTAGAGTAAATTGGCCCAACAGCCATAAACAATACAGTTTCCATAAATTATGGATAAGGTTTTATAATATTTTAAAATATGGCTCATTCACAGGATTAATTAAAGGTGAATTTTCTTTTTTATCCATAGAACAAATATATTATTAAAACACTTTACATAAACTGATTCATTAATATATCTTTTATAACTATCTAAATGATTTTAACATTTAACTAATTGACTCAAATTCCTACACACACATATGCATCATATTTCTCCCCTTTCATAATAATTCTTCCCCTTTCTTAATGGGTGGAGGAATTAAGGTGACATTCATATATTGCTTTCTTGTTCTCATAACAAATGCACTCTTTTGCAAGAGACATTTTAAAATGAGTAGTTTAATTTTGTGCCTTTGCAAATGAGTTTCATTGTTAGGTTTGCTTGTGCAAAGATGAATGTAAATTCAAAACTTTCATTGTAGAGGGGTATTTAATTATCTATGATAAGTTAAGATGGTTAGGATTTTTTATGAATTATGTTTGATTTGTTTATGGCAAATAATTATGTTTTTTTTTGTATTTTTGATTCACGATAATATACCAATGATGTACAACTGTATCATTAGTAAATTATATCAGGAAAAAATTATTAACACATTTTAATTTTGTAGATATTGAGATGCTTAATCTTGTCATTCCTTATAATGAAAAATAAGATTTATTAGTTTAGGTATTTAATTTTTTGTGATAAGTTAAGATGTCCAAAAATTTTTACAGACTGTGTTTGATTTAATTTGTACGAATGATTTTTTTTTTTTTATGTTTTTGATCTATGATATTATATCATGATACACAATTATATATCATCAGTAAATCATATTAATAAAAATTTATCAATATCATTTAATCTTTAGATATAAAAATACTTAATCTTATTATTTTTTTCTTTTTTTTTTGAAGAGGATTAAATGAAATTGCCTTTCATTTCTGAGTATTTAAAAAAAAGTTTTTGTTTAAAAATAAGTATTTGAAAAAAAATCATATATTTATAAAATTAATAATTTTGTCATATAAAACTTAATATAATAAATATTAGATTTCTTATTAAATTAAATTTAATTCCATGGAATTGAGAGAGAGAGAGAGAGAGAGGTTTTCAATTTTTTTTTAATAAAAATAAGTTGAACTAACAGCCTTAAACGCGCAAAGCTTAGCTTCCAAAGAGCACTTCAAGGGGGGCAAAATAAAATAAAATAAATAAAACCAGAAAGTCGGTTAGTACTAGCCGAAGCAAGTGCAGTGGCGCGATTCAGCTTCAGAAGAGATCACGCTTTTCGCTCCTTCTATTTCATGCCCACTTCTCACAACTTCTAGGGTTTCATATCGTTCCCAACTGCTTCACCAATATGGCCGATTCTATGCCGTCGCCTTCCTCCAATCAGAGTCAGAATGCTACGACGACGACAATAACTGATCTCAATGTGGACTCACTCGTTCACTCTGCTGCCTATCTTAACCTCCAAGATGTTTGCAATTTGGCCATGACCTGTAAATATTTCAAACGTGTTGCCTATTCCGATTTCATTTGGCAACGTCTCTTCCGGTTCCTACTTCTCTCTTGTTTATTTTTTTTTTGGGTTATGAAATTATTTATTTGTATAAAATTCCTCTGCGTGTATTTACCATCCCAAACCACCATCTTCCAAATCTCTTCGCTGTTGTGTTACTCTAGCGTATTATCATGGAATCACATAAGGATAAACTAAAACGCTGATCTTCAATATAATTTTAGTTGCATTTTTTTCTTGGTTATAAAGTACTTTGCAAGCCTATCATGGACAGACGGGCTCTTGTGCAGTTAGACTTATAAAATTATGGCCGTTTTGGCGTTCTGGTGTTTGTTTTCTTTTGACATCTTATTTCCCTTATTTTCCTTCTTTCTAAATTGATTCCGTTTGTAGGGAGCATTGGCCGCAACAACCATCTCCTAGCTCTTTACATTCACGTGGACTGAGGGAAATGTATTTGGCGAGGCGCACGGCAGTTCAGCAATTTAAGTTCGCTGATCCCTTTGTCGCTGACTTCTATACTGATGTTAAACCTTTCAATCATTTGCAGTTGAGTAAAAATGATATCTTTTTAACACAGGTATTCCTTTTGCGTGGTGGAATTTTTGCATGTTCTTTTTCTGATTGGATCATTTCATCTAAGTTCATTTTGGTTTTCGTCCTTTATTCCTACCCCTGCTGTGGAACGTATATGGTTAGGGCCTAGAAACCGAGTCTATATTTTTCCCACAATTATCTTGACATACGGTCTGCTGATTGTTATTAATATGGATTGATAACTAGGGTTCTCAGATACAAATGATAAATATGGATCGATATCAAAGTGGAAAAGATTTTGTATCTGCATTAAGTGATCACAAAGCAAGAATTACTTGTATGAGGTAAGATTTTTTATTTACTCTCTGCTTATTCAAATATTTGATTTCTCATTTTTATTACATCAGCACCCTCAAAAGGAAAAGAAAAAAAGAAAGGAAAAGAAAAGAAAAACGAAATTCACTGATGCTAAATATGCATTCAAAGAAATCTGCGACAACACAAGAGTTTGAAATAGAAGAATTTATTTTAGTGATGATAAAGTCAAGTCAATATTTCCGATGGCTTGTGTTTCCATCAACAGCACCTTTCCTTGAGTTGCCAAAAGTGATCAGTAAATTTACATTTAAAATCCATTTATCGTATTCAGGGTATCAATATGATAGTTCATTCAAATTTTTCCCCACCTAAAAATGTAGCTGCATGAACAGGGAAAGGTTGGCTTGCGTCTGAAATCTAATAATAAAATGCAGGTTGTTTTTCCTTAATGACATATCCTTGTTTCGAGGTGAAACAGAAAGCGAGCAAAAAGTTTTGGTTACATCTAGCTGCGATCACTCCATTCGTCTGTGGCGAAAGGTATATCTCTCTAACATTGTATGAAGCCTTCATCTTTTATGTTTGTATAAATGGTTGATGCCTTAAATATCATTAAATTACATATTTATGGCATGCTCCATAGTAAATATGGAAAAACAGAGTAGATGAAAAGTTTGTTGTAAGCACCTGATAGTGCTGGGTAAATATGATGGAACATATGAGGATTGGAGAAACTATTAAAAAGTACTGATGAAACAGAATAAGTTACCTTCATACTTTCCAATGATTTCATTAACTCATTTCCTATATTTTGAAGTAAAAGTTAAAGTTCAAACTTGTAGCAAAATACATTTAATTTGTAAGATATAACATGTCTTCTGCTGGTATTTTCACTTGATTTTTGTCTTTTGTCACAAATTTGAGATAAAGGTTATGGAATGAAGATGTTTGCCAGTCCAATTTTATCTATTCCTCTAAAATGAATTCTTATTTTTCATCTTACATTTTTACTGCACCTATGCTCATCTTATTTAGGGTCACCATATTTTTTTCCATGAAAACCTTATTCTTTTGTCAAAGATGTAGACATTCTTCTCTATCTGGTTCTTGATAGTTGCCACTGTATAACTGATATCTGAAGATCTGTTCCCAGTCAAGAGTGGTGGAGATGTTGTGGGGAAGTGAGGGCTTAGCTAAGTGTTAGACTTTCCATTGGAAATGTGTATTGGGAAAGAGGAAGATGGAAAAAGATAAGACTGTAACTGAATGAGGGTGGGAGAAAGTGGGAAATTTGCTGTCTATTCTGTTTGTGACAGGTGCCATAAGAGGGTTGGTTACTTGCTAGACAGTTAAAACCTGAATAAAAGAGAGTTTCCTGGGTAGAAGTTAGAGAAGGGTTTGGGGAAGTGCTGGCAGAACTCAAATTTCCAAGTCTGGTTTTTCTGTTTTATATTTTTCTTCTAAACACTCTGTGACTTTGCTACTGATGTTGTCCTGTTTTCTGGGTTATATGAGCTGAGACCTTGATGGGGAAATTATTTTCTGTCACCTAGTTTCCTGGAGAAAATAGGTAAGAAATTCTCTTTTCAGGTTATGGAAAGGTGTCTTAAATAGGTACTTGTGCCACGTGCCTAGCAAGAAGTTTGCTGAAGTGTAATCTGAGCTTCAATTATTTATTCATTTCATTTAAATGGATGTGTTTTTTTTTTTGGTCCATTGGAATAAATGCCAATATGCTTGAACATTTATATTGTTCTAAAAAGTGAGGAAAATTTTAATAGACTAATGTATGTTTTAGATTTTGGCGAAGTTTCTTATTCTCATGTTACAAATCAAATATTTAGGCTATTTGTTTGCATTTTTAGGATTTATGCTTATGTTCACTTTTGCCAGCTCTTTGAAATCTTTTTTTTTTTTTTTTGGGTTTTTGCCTTCGGCAATGTTGTTCATTGTATACTTATTGCAATTCCCTGAAAGCTGCAGTTATTTATGCTTTTAGGGTTCTTGCCAAAGATGCTTTAGAGGTCACAATGGTCCAGTATTGTCCCTATCAAATAAATTATTGGGAGAGGATAATGTCAAGGTATTGGCAAGTGGAGGGGATGATGGTACTGTGCGCCTCTGGTCTCTTAGTTCAAGTGGAAAACGAGGGCAGCATGCTTTAAAGGCTACACTCTATGGACATGAGAAGGCCGTAAATTTTATAGTAGTTGCTGGGTATGAAAGTAAATTTTTTTGGGGCTGTACTTCCCCGTGCACCAAAATGTTATGATAATATTGTTTACACTTTATTAGTAATACTTCATGGAGGATAAATTGAATTTATTCAATTTTCTCACCTTGAGCTTTTAACCTTGGCTGGCTAAGTCTTGGTCAAGGAGACGATATATGCATTCTAAAATGTAATCAACCCTTTCTTATTCTTAAAGTTGGAAAAATGCCATCTGAAAGAGTCATTTGTATTTATGTGTTCATGAATATATTTGTAAGTCTGATTTCAACTGAATGGTTTTAAGGTTTCTTATGTTTCCCTGCTTGTATTTTCTATCTTCTAGCAGACCAGCCATTCTTGTATACAGATATGCATTGTCTGGTACTCTGATTGAATCTTTCTATATGGATTCTGGCTGACCACTTATCAGGTTGAAATATATTTGACTGAATTTATCTGTTTATAGAGTTTTAGCAAATTTTTATTTCTATGGAATGTATACCTTGATTCGTTGGGAGAATTACTATGATTCATACATTGTGAATAGAATAGAAAGTAATGTTTATTCAGGATGCAATTTTAGAATTATGTTTTGTAACTTTGGTAATCGAATATTGCTCAAGAGGGGGAAAAGGTTATGTATGAAATGTTCTGCATATTTAGTTCAACAGACAAATTTGAAAAAGAAAATGAGGTCATTATTGATTGTGCTTATTAAATTTAGTGCGTTGATGTCTTTCTCTTGGAAATTGGAATCTTCAGGTCCATGTTAATCATTTCCTTCAATAATAGTGATATAATATATCCTTCCTATCCAACTTTCAGGCACAGAAATTCTCTTTTGGCAAGCATTTCAAGAGATTCGAAGGTGCTCTTTGTTTTCCTGTTTACTACTGTTTCAATTTATTTACTTAGCATTCAATTTGATATTTGAATTCAGCTAATCTACTGACAATTTTCTTTAGGTCAAATCTAGCTTGCTTGCTGAGTAGATAACATTTATGGTCAAAATAAATGCATTACAGGAAATTATAGAAGTGATTGTTGTTGTAAAAAGGAATTGATTATTTTTAGGTTCATTTTATTCATTTTGAACAGTTTTCCTAATGGAAGTAAAAAAGAGTTATGGAGCCAATAGTTGATGATTTCATTTCAGACTTGAACATCTGTGCCTGTCTAGTATAGAAACATTACCTACAATTTGATTGGCAATGCAATGAATGCGTGTTAATTATGATTTATGGGTTCAATTTTGTTGGCACTGGAAGTGTTTCCATGCTTTTAGTCTAAATGCCATGCCTTTACAATTGATGAAAACTGTGAAGTTTTCATTCATTTGTTCTTGATCAGCCTTGCTAAAAATCTAATGACTCTGAACCGATTTATAAAGATTGTTTTTACTATCCTTTTATAATATGGAACTTGTATCAGGTGAGGGTTTGGGATACAACCACATCATCGGCTGTTCGTTCATCCTGCTGTGTAGGAATGACTTCTGTTGCTGGTGCACCTGTGAGCATGCAATGCCAGGAATCGCTATTGTATATTGGAGCTGGTTCTTCTGTCACTGCTGTTGACTCAAGGACAATGCGGAAAGTTATGACTGCAGCAGTACATCGGCCAAAGCTATATTCATTTGATATTGTTCCTTCAAAATCTTTAATCTGCACGGGCGGTGATGGCAGGTAAGAGTGAATAAGCTCATTTACTGCTGTAATAATTTTCGTCGGCAGACTGCTCTCTTGACTTAGCTGTATTGTCTAAGAAAATGACTAAAACCCAGTGAAATATCCAGTTCACCCTAAGCCAGTATTATTAATGGATCAGCACTGAGCAAAACTTATCATGATGCTGCAGAGCAATGCTTTGGGATATTAGAAGAAACCAAGAAGAGCCAGTAGCGGAGTTGGACGGACATTGTGGGCCAGTTACATTACTGCACATGGATCCGTACAAAATTGTAACTGGAGGCCCTCAAGATCCATGCATCAATGTTTGGGAGGTTGATACGGGCGCGCAAATAAAGTCCTTGAGTTGCTGCTGTGGGGAAAAAGAAGCTCATGGCAGCAGGTCTGGCTGTGGTGCAATGGCAGTAGATGGGTGTAGAATAGCCACTGCTAGCTACTGTGAAGAAATGGGAATTCTGCGCTTTAGGGACTTCAGTAACGCTTCGAGTTCTGTCATGAAACTGGAAGAGGACCAGACCCAGACATCCAAATTTTGGGATTCTTCATCTGATCGTATCACTTCAGATTGGCAAACCTAGTCCAAAAGTTCATGGTTCCCGGAAATTTGGTTCTGTACCATTACCAGGATACGTTAGCTTTTATACAATCGTGATTGTTTCTTCATGTTTTTGTCCCTTCATTCGTCGCGGGTTCAACATTTCGTCTACTCGACATAGTGAGAAAATCTCCCCGTGGTTGAGCACATATGCTGGCATCATCAGAATCACCAATATATCATTATATCTAAATATCTGATATTGAAACCTCGCTAGAGTACATAAATTGTACTCTATTAGTTCGAAATGATGTGCTTGTGTTTTTTTTCCTAGAAAAAAAAAAAATCAATTCCCGGGCTGTTGCTGGATATATATGAAATGTGAATAAAAGTTACGGGACAATCCCATTTCACCATATAAAACGTGCATTTTTTTTTAATGTCTTCTCCATGCATTTAAGGCTGGGGTAAAATTTTATTTATATTTGAAAATGGAGATACCCTTCAACGAACAAAATAGTGGGAAAGCAAACTTCTATGAGGTTATTATATGAAGTTATTATCAGAATTTTCAACCCACAAATGATAAATGCATTCAATATACTTGGAAATAGGCGTCGTCAAATTTAGATAATTGCCTAGTTTATCATGTCATTATCAAAACATAATATATAGATCGTGCTTTATTAAAAAAAAATCATTATATATAAACTCTTACCAATAAAAATTGTTGGCAAAAAAATAACAGAAACTAAAACGGTAAAACCAGATTAGTGAAACCTTTAAATTAATATAAGTGGATCCTGTGTAAAATATATATATATATATATATTTAATCTTATATATTTAATATATTTATATTTAATATAAATAAATTTTAATATGTTAATAAAATTAATAACAAGAGTTATTGTAGAATAAATAATTTATAAAAAATTTATATATTTTGATTTAATTAAAAATGAATATATTAATTATATAAGGTTAAGTATGTAAATTTTTTTAAAAATAATATATAATTAACAAAGGAAAAAAAATGGACAAAATTGAAGAAGAACAGACAAACTAAAGACGAAAAGATAGCAGAGAGCCGAAAACGGAGCAAGTGAGCTAGAGACGAGCATCCATAGGCTGTGAGGGATCATTTCAGAGTAAACGGAAGGCAGAGTGGGTGACAGGACATTTCCGATGATCTATCAAGAAGCAGCCCATAGCATCAATTATATGGATGGTATGATATTATTATTCTCTATCATTATGGATGGTATGATATTATTATTCTCTATCATGAATCAAATTTTTAAAAATATTATTAATTAAAACATTTTATTTAATATTTTTAGTATGTGTTTTTTTTTATCTTTTTTTATCACTATAAAGTCTCAAAATTATACACTTCTTCTATTAAAAAATATATTATTTTTAATTAAATTTTATTTTTTCATAAAGTAATTATTTATTTTCAAACTAATTCTATTTTTTTTAATTATTTTTATTAAATACTTATAATAAATATAAATTCATTCATCAATAGAGACACTTAAAAAAAAGACAATAATTACACTTTAAAAAACTAAAAATACTTTACATTTTAAAACATTTAACTCTTTAAAAAATATTTTATATTTTTTAACAGAAGAAGTATTTCATTGTTTTTATTAGCGCCTCTCACAACCTTTTTTTTATATGTTCAAATTATTTTAAATAATTTTTTATCATTTTTAATAGATGTTATATTCACTTTTTTGTATATATTTATTTTAGATTATTTTTTTATGTATGATCGTCCATCTATCTTAATATTTTTATCTTTATTATTCTAACTTTATGTCCATATTATCCTTTTAAAGCTCAACATATACTAAAATATGACATAACTTGTTTTTAAAGACAACTTTTTTTAAAATTTATTAGATGTGATCTCAGAGAACTCCTTTAATACAATGATATAAATAATCATGATTGAAAAATGAAGGGAGGGATGATATATATATATATATATATATATATAAAATTGTCCATAAGTCCATTCCTGTGATTTTTGTTGGGTACAAGTCCATTTCTCTGATTTTAGATACCGTATAAGCTTGCAACAGGAGAGAGAACGAAATTTCTTCCATTATCAAGCAGGGGAAACAACCGATCAACGGAACAAGATTCATTTTTCTCATGCCATTGTTTTCTTTCTCATACTTTCACGCACAATTTCTCTGATTTATGTTGGCAGATATCATTTTATTTTATCATGCATTTCTTTTTCTTTAGGGTGAAAATTGAAAATTGCCCAATTTTAATCCCATCCGTTTCTTTTTCTTATTTTTTGTTTGTATATGCATAAATAAAAATGATAAAACATAATTAGCTGGTAAAAAAAAAAACATCATTCATTGGGTTGGGGTTTTTTGGAGGGAGCGGGATCGTCAAACTTTCTTTGCTTTCTACGTTTATATTAGAAAAGCGCAGCCTTCCGCCCGCAAAATTACTCATTTCCGTAACCTTTCTTCGGCGACCCATCGGCAATACGATAAAGAGCTAGCGGCGATGTCTCACTGCCGGCGCGTTACTTCACAGTCTTCTCACAAATCAAGCCCTGCTCAGTGCTTCCAGCGGCTGAAGATGCCTGCCATCGCTGCCTTCATCACCACCGTCTTCGTCTTCCTCACAGCTACTGTCACTGCCGCTCCTATCATAGGTCTCGACTCCTTTCTTGCCCATCAAGGTCGTGTCGACCCTCAAGCCTCCAACGACTCCTTCCTCTCCCTTCCCTCCTCTATCAAGCGATCCCTTTCTCTTTCCCACTCTCATCCCCATATCCCTTCCCTCATTTCGTCCCTTCTCTCTCTCTCGCTGCCTCTCTCTGTCCACGTCCGTCTCGTCGGCGATTTTCCTTCCGATTCGTCTTCCCTCCTAAACTCGTTCCTCTCCGCTTCCCAGCCTTCCAACCACTTCCACGTCATTACCCCCTTCGACCACCACAACCACCGTCTCTCTCTCAGGCATGAGCTCCATCTCTCCGTCTCCCATTCTTCTTCTCTAGCTTCCGTTCTGTCCGATAAAATCAAATCTGAGATTGCCGAAACCCCATCGAGCCTCAGATCCCCTCTTCTCTCTATTCCTCATACTTCCGTGGATCAGATCATCAAGCAAGACTTCGAGAAGGAAAAACCCGTCGAAGGGGTTTATATATATCTCCTCAATTTAGGCGCCCAGTCGAGGCCATATGCTTATAATTACGGGTCTGGGGATTCCTCCCCTGGTGTCACTAAGTGTTTGGGGAGTATATGGACCGGGAAAGAGAGATACGTGTGGATTGATTTGGGTGCAGGTCCTGTGGATTACGGTCCGGCAATTTCAGGAGATGGTGTTTTGCCCAGAGGCGAGTTTCATCCTCTGGCCGCACTTCATGGTCGGCCCAAGTCGCAGAAAGCATTGCTTGCGGATTTGGCTTCATTGATCTGGAGTGCATATCAGGTTTTTCTTGTGCCTTCTTTGAGAATTCCAGTTCCTTTTGAGAATTCGTTGATGGTTCAGTTCATACATGTATATGGCTTTGCGGGGAAGGATACAAATGGTCTGGATTGGAAATCTATTGAGAAGACGTTCAGGGACGAGTTTGTTGATAACGGGCTCTTGTTAGGTGACCAGTCTTTGAGTTTTAAGACTTACGAAGTGGAATATTCTGGTTGCCCAATTTGCTCGTTTGCTATTTCAAGGTCGTTTAATTCCTACACTTCGAGGTTCTTGTTTGATAACTACACTTTGATAGTGAGTGAGTATTTGGACTCTAAGCGTCTTCACCAGATATTGTCTGAATCGGCCGAGGAGTTCAGGAAAGCAGCTGAAGTGCCTGAGGAGGATTTTGGCAGGGTCATTCCTGTTTATGTGTTTGACTTAGATTACAACACAGTTGTTTTGCTTGATCGGTATCACCAATCTGTGGCTTTCAAAGATATGGTTATTGCCGTGAGGACAAAGAACACTCAGACTGTAAGTGATTATAGCTGCAATGGTCGCCATGTATTCACACAAACTAGGGAACTTGAACGACCACTTGTTGGATCAATTCTACAGAGCATGTGGGGAGTGTCCCCAACACATTTGTCATGGAGCCCGAGACACAACAATACATTGGTCGATTACACATGGAGTATAGGGCAGACTCCATTTGGGCCATTCTCAGAAACTTCATCCATGTCTTTTGTGCAGAAAGATGCGGCAAGGAGAAATGTTCTGTTGACATCGTTGAATTACAGTGTAACCAGTGCTATTGATGTTCTCGAGTCCATACAAACACATGGTGGAGACAGAAATCTGCTCAAGCAAAAGCAGCACGATGAGTTCATCCAAAGATGGAATCTTTTCAAGTACAAGCTGGACAAAGTGATTTCTGCTTTGTCACATATGGATTATGAGAAGGCTTTGTTTTACTTGAGGTCATCTGATCATGATCTGTATGCCATTCACTCTGTCGTTTATCATGCCTCCCAAGAAATAGAGGCATCCCTTGTGTGCTTTAAGGATCCTCCATTTCCTTGGACATCAGTTTCATTTTCTGCGGGGGCTTTCCTTGCTCTCTTTTGTGTTTATGTTAAAAGGGATAAACTTTTTAGAAATAAAAGGAAGCAATTTTGATGTTGTTGAGAAGGGAGAAAGTTGTATGATTTTAAGAAAACACTGCACATGTATCATTGTACAAGAGCTGTGCTGATGGGCATAGTATTTAGATTTCTTAACTCATTAACTGCAGTTCAACAAGCCATTTTGCTCTGTTTTTCGTTTCCTATGTGATTGGTTTGTTTTGCTGGTTTTACGCTTGTTGATTACTTCTCTGATGAATATTGGTGTCATAAGTAGTTCGAAAGATATGTTGAAATGGTGATATGCTTTCAAGTTTTGATCATTTTATTGTTTAAAATTGTCCTACAAATCACGTAGGAGTTTGGTACCCTATTTATGTTCCAAGTAAGGAAAAATTTGGCATGCAATAGATTACAAGAACCTGGAATTTTTTACTTCATCTCAAATTTAAACGTTACAGATTGGGGCCGGTTTTGAATTGATTGATTGGATTCTGTTCTGCAAGTGATTGTTGAGTGGTGCGGTTTTAATTGATTAATCATGAATTTGGTTGAATGGTATACTAAGTTTGTCCTCCCCCCCCCCCCCCCAAAAAAAAAGGTTGTTACTCCAGTTTTTAATCACTGAGCTG